CGCACACGAATGCCCCAGCGGGCGCCATGGCGCCCACGGGCACCGCGTTGGGGACCACTGCTCTAACTTCTGGGCCAAATTCTAATCTCATTTAGGCAAATGTAACTCTATTGACTTCAGAGGGGTAGCTGTGTTAAAACTCCAAGTGTGTGTCTACACTTTGAAATAAAATTGCATAGCTTCTTTTGAGGTACAGTAAAACTCCATTAGTCTGGCATCCAATGCTCTGGCACTCCTGATGGTCCAGCACCATCAGGAACCCGGAAGTGCTGGGGCAGCCAGACAGGCTTCCCCCATTCAGCCGCTGCTTAAACTGACCAGCAGCTGAATGGGGGAAGCTGGGAGCAGAGCAACTGGGGTGCTGCCAGATTGGTCCCATAAGCGCCTCCCCTCGGCGCTGCAGGACCAGCCCGGCAGCCCCCCAGCTGCTCTGCTGCAGGCATCCCCGATTTAGCCAGACTATTGGAGGGGGGGGCATCTCCTCCCACCCCACTCCAGACCCCTCTTAGCCCCCCCTTCTGATAGTCCATCATATCTGATAATCCGGCACTCCCTGGGTCCTAAAGGTGCCGTATTATTGAAAGTTTACTGTATTTTCAAAATAGCTTATTTCAAAATTTGGCGCTGTCTACACAGCACCAAATTTCAAAATAAAGTGACTATTGGAGGGGGGGGCATCTCCTCCCACCCCACTCCAGACCCCTCTTAGCCCCCCCTTCTGATAGTCCATCATATCTGATAATCCGGCACTCCCTGGGTCCTAAAGGTGCCGTATTATTGAAAGTTTACTGTATTTTCAAAATAGCTTATTTCAAAATTTGGCGCTGTCTACACAGCACCAAATTTCAAAATAAAGTGCTAGTCCTCATGGAACAAGGGGTACAGGGACACCAGAATAGTGCACCTGTTATTTCAAAATTTATTTTGAAATAACAGGCTGGTTTAAAGACATGGAAAAGCTATTTCAGGATACTTCTGGTATCCTGAAATAGCTCCACTGTGTAGACGTAGCCCAACTTTAAAAAATATGAGTAGTTCTGTGGCATCTTAGAGACTAACAAAAATGCATATAGTATTATGAGCTTTCGTGGGCAAAACCCACTTCTTCAGATGAGCTACATCAGGTGAATTATATCAATGTGAGCGCAAAATCAGGCCTTTTATCTTTAATTATGTAGTGTCTATTTTAGAGTTTGGAAGTGTCTGCTCAAAATGTAATCTACTCAGACCTGTGCAAAAGCCAGTAGGACTAACAATATAAAGAGAGCTTGTGATTTTCAGTTTTAACCAATTATAAGGGATAAAACACCCTGATATAACAGGAAAAAAAGGAAGGGGGGCAACTTATTCTTGGAAAACATATAACAGGAAAAAAAGGGGGGCTTATGCAGTAGGCAGGGGTCGACAAATAATGTAATCTATTCGCCCGTGGCGAGTAGATTACAACCTGGAAGAGCCAGCGCAGAACGATCTGCGCATGCGCAGAGCGCAGAACAGCACGAAACCGCGCGGCTGGCGAGCGGGGCTGGCTGCCGCTTGGCGAGCCCTGGCAATAGGTACTGGAAGAACATCAAAAATGGTTTCTTGAATGTAAGGGCTTGTCTTTGTAGAGCAGTACAGTGAGCTAGGGGTATGTAATTTCTAAAGTTCACTGGTATGTTGCACATTGCTTGGGCTGGATAGGCTCTGTTGGTAAGCACGAAAGATTCTTTTGAGTGCTTCAACATAGTGCTGCTTGAAACAGTATACTATCTTAAAGTGCATTATGGAACATTTCAAAGAGTGTGTCTAGACTACAGGGTTTTTTCAAAAAAAACATCCCCTGCGTCTAGACTGCCGCCACGTTCTTTCGAAATTAAATTGAAAGAACGCGGGTTTTTTTTGTCCACGGTAAACCTCATTTTATGAGGAAGAACGCCTTTTTTCGAAAGGTGTTCTTGAATGCAAACAGGGCTTTTTCAGAGGAGAGCATCCAGACTGCTTTCGTGCTCTCTTTCGAAAAAGCGGCTTGCTTTTTCAAAAGAAGTGGTTGCAGTCTAGACGCTCTCTTTCGAAAGAGGCTTGTAGTCTAGATGTAGCCAACGAGATTACTCAGTCTGGTGTATACATTATATACATTACTCATAGTGGTATATACAAAGAGAAAGTCCTGAAAACACTCAGTTTTTGGGAATCCACCTAAAACTAAAAAATTGCTTAAAAAAACCTTGAAAAGATTAAATCAATAAACTCTAAAAAAACTGAAGCCCTAAATATAAAAGATTTGGGTCCATGGGGCATAATCCATATTCCTAATGCTCTGACATGTTGACTTCCTAAGAAGACGGAAAGCATCAGTTAAGCAGGTGCAGTGATTCTTTTTGACTGTGTGTTAACATTTAAAAATAATTTCTTGTGTGTAAAATATCAAGAACCCTCCCACCCCGCCCAGGAATCTAACTCCCACACTGCTGTCAGACTATGTATGTTTCCTGGCTTTTTCACCCTGAGTTTTCTGTGTGCAAGTAACAATTTTATTAAAGCTTGGAATTAAATCAGCTGTGGCCAAAATGTCTTCATGTTCCGAGCTTATTTAACAACACATCAAAATGTTTGTGGATTCTTTCTATCTTCTCTTCCTTTCTATGTCAAAATGAAGGAAGCTTGAATCACTTTTACTTCCCTGCAGATACCTAAGAGGGAGAGAATCAAAGGAAATAGGACTAAGAAAAACAAATGCTTTAGTGTTGCCACAGAGTGTCACTCTTACTCCATATATTGCGTAGCAGAAAATCTGATTTCCTTGTCCATACAAATTTCACTTGAATAATCTATTATCCTGCAGCCAATTGTTAGTGTACCTTAGGGGAAAAAATAACTAAATAAACTAGTATCTCTCTCTCATTCTGATGTGTTTGGGACTCTACCTTGTTAAAAATCTAATACTGACATTTTAGCTGCCTAGGTTTCTGCATATAAAATTATTTTCCTGCAGAACCAGTAGAGACATGCCATATAGCAGTTCAAAGCTTATCCGTAAATCTCAAAAGAGGATTTGGTTTTTGCAAATGGTCATCTAGTAACCAACTGACATGGGTCCATGCCTAGCAAAGCAGTGTGTTTGAAACGGCTCCCCTGAGTGCATTTCCTTAGCAAAGCCACAAATAACAGTAAATAATGCTTTGGCAAATAGAATTTTCTATCAGCTCATTCCATTTTGTTTGTTTGGTGCAAATGGGCATGGTTTTCTCACAATTACCATGAGCAGCAAATAATTTTGAATGAGTTTTGAGGACACAGAAAAATACAGCAAACAAAATAAAATGAAACCCCGCCCAGATATACCCTCTAACAAAATGCACACAGGTATGTGGAATAAGACTTCTTAGTTTCTGGCAGAGTCCACAAAGGGTATGCCTACATTTTCAACAGTGATTAGTGAATCTGACTCAGGTCCCCTCAAATTGGGCACCCAAAGTCATGGATACCCAAAATATCTTGTGACTTTGAACATTTAGGTCACTGAAGACAATTAGAAGACAAAGATGCTGTCCAGCTGCCAGGACATGATCATATAGTTATTAGTAAGTCCAAATAAGTTCTGATTAGCAAGTCCAAATATTACAGCCGTATGCCCACAACAAAGGAGAAACCCATAACTTTCTAATCACGGCCTCCCACCCACACGCCTTGTCTTCTCTCTCATGCTCTGTTTTTTATAGACAAGAACCAGAGGAGAAAATCTGTAAGCATGGCTGTGATAAGCTTATTTTAAAATGTTATTGAATAATCACAGAAAAATACTTACAGTGGTCACACAGGTCTAGTTACAAAATGATGTGCATCCTTATTAAAATTAAAACATCCTTATTCTATATTTTGAAATGGCTTAGAATGAATTCCAAAATATGAAGGTACAGCTGGGAGAAATGGAATGAAATCAAAATAAACAATATAGAAAATGCAGTATAGAAAACATCCTAACAATTTGACCTATTGGATTATGGAACCATCTCTCAAGAGGATTGGTGAAAACCTCATTGCTTTATAAATGTAAAACTGGGCAGAACAAAGCACTGAAGAATATTTGTAGGAAACAATACTAGATGGGCAGGAATTTGGTTAGCCTGACAGCCTTTTTCATTTCTAAGTGTTACGATTTCATGACTTATGAGTTGATTTTTTATTTGTGTTTCTTTTACAAATGAGCTAATAATATGATGGTTTTCAATACAGAAAATAGTACAGTGCAGTGCATCCACTGGGTTTAAAATCTCTTTCTAGGATAACTCATCTATTATTAAATATTTTTCCATATATTCAGATGGCTGTGCTTCTCCTTGGCAGATCATGAACAGAGTATCATTTTATATGTTCTTAGAATATGTGCCTAAGAGCAGCTCATAATCATAAGAGGCAACACTCTTGTACTGCTAAGAAAAATCTGTAGTGCCAGGCAGCATCTGACTTTTTTTTTTTTAACAAAAAGAGAGAGTGCAAGAAAAAAGAGCTTTACAGAAACTGTCACTTCCTTGATGTAGATATCCCCTAAAGCCAGGCTACCTACACCTTGCTATCCTTGTGTGAGACTTTGTTCTAACTTTCTAACTTTTTTAGATTCAGCTAAGCAAAATTAAACCACCGTTTGACTCTCTGGATACAACTGTACACTTTATAAAATTAAAACTATTGAACTGTCTTTCTTCATACCTGACTTACTCCTTATATTTCAAGAGGAGCTACAAAACAAGCCAAACATTCATGTTTTTACCTTCAGACATTTGCAAATAATTTCTAATTTATATATACAGGCATTTTTTTCTATTATGTGCCTAGAATCTATGTGTATCTGAGATCCCAGTTGGGAATCTAGCAGGGACATGAGTCCTATGGCATCACTGCCAGGCTGGTAAAGAAGAACAGCTGAAAGGATACACTGTGGGATAGCCAATGACATATTAAGCACCTCAAAATATTTTTGAGTCAGGGCACAGTTTTTGATACATAAGAATGTGGATTTTGTGTGTATGGTTTGTAGGGGTAGAGTGTAATTATTAAAAATGAATCATATGTTGCATATTTTGTGTATATGTAAAGTTCTCTATACTGATACTTCCTGATTTCTCTGAAAACAACTTTTACCCCTGCCTCCGTCTACAAGATTTTTGTTTTGCTCTTTGTTGCAGTACCAGAGGCAGTTAACATCATTGAGACAGTGGTTCTGTCTGATAACACCATCAAGATATCTTGGAATGAATCTTCACAGCCAAATGGACCCATAGACTCTGTCCGCTATCAAATTGCTATCAACTTTTTACCACCAATTCCTGCAACTCCTTTGAGAAAAAATGAATTTCCAAATGGAACACTTGCTTGGTCTATTAGCAGCCTCCATGGTGGAACATGTAACGTATTCAAGGTATAAGTGACTTTGTATAGTGAAGAAGCCTGAAAATATGATGTAGTTAATAACTAGCAAGGGACCAAACCACTGTTTTGTAAAGTAAGAGCATGCTTGCATTTTGTAAACATGGGTTCAGACCACTGGCAGAGTTGTCTCAGTGGCTTGGCTTTCTGAGGAAGATAAATCAAATTCCATTCATTTCTCCTTGTGAGGGTCTTTCAGATAAGATTTAAAAACCTGAGCTCTGAGGCTTTTCTGTTTTGTTGGGACACTTCAGACTCCAGGTATAAATGTAAGTCACAACTCTGATAGCTATAGCCAGCAGTTCTTTGTGGCACTGTCCTGCAGCATGCTGAGTTGATCAGATGGCTGCCAACCTTCCCTTGCAAGGGAGAGTTTTTCAGTCCTATTGCAGATGCAGCAGTGTGGGTTGCAATGGGATAAATGGAGCTATATAAATGTAAAATAAGCTTCGGGGGGGAAGCTGAGTTAGTCTGTACAGGGTAAACTAGAAAAACAACAGATAGTCTGGTAGCACTTTAAAGTCTAACAAAACATGTGGCATCATGAGCTTTCATGGGCATAGCCCACTTCTTAAATCTGGCTGTACCCATGGAAGCTCATGATACCATCTACATATTTTGTTAGTCCTTAAAGTGCTACCAGACTATCTGTTGTTTTTTAAGTTTAAATGTAAAATGCTATTTGGTGAAATTTCCTCTGCAAAACTTCCATCCTGATCCACTGGTCAAGGGGAAACCTTCCATCAACTTCTCTGGCAGTAGGATCAGGTCTTTGGCCTATTAGTAGGATTGTTTTTATTATTATTTAATGTTATGTAGTGGAAAATGGAAAATTCCTACTTCTCCCTAAAAGCTTTTTGATCCAGATCGACCAAGGTAATTAGACACCTGAACTCCCGGCTTAGTTATGTCTGGCACTTAGGCTCCACTGAGATCCATGAAACTCCCACCTAATTCTGTAAGTGCTCAACTCACTTGGTGCCTACATTTCAAGGTGGTTCTCTTGGTACCTGTGTTCTTGCCCTTGGTGTACACTCTGCTGCCTCACTCTAGGTATCAGAAGCCTATTGCTCACCTACGCCCCATGCTGATCCATGACTAGGAAGATGATTAGAGGAGGGTAAGTGTGTGAGGGGCCTGATTTGTTAGGCATGCTCAGAGGTTGCCTGCAGGATTGGGTCTCTTTCAAAATCTGGCTGGTGGTAGGACTCACCTGGCAGCTTTTAGATCCCTAGACAGAGCACTCATCTGGAAGGCGGGGCACCAGAGTTCAGTTCCCACCACTGCCTGGGGAGGAAAAAGGAATTTGAGCAGGGATATCCTGAGAGAGCACTTCCTCAGGTTCTCCTGTTGAAGCTATTCCATGGTATGTAAGCAAAGTCATTGGAGCTGTGGGACTGGACTCTGCATCTCCCATACTGGTGCCCCAACCACCAGGCTACAAAATCATTCTCTCACTGTCTATGGCCCTGCTACAACATCAACAGAGAGACGGAGAGAGCCCCACATCAGAATATCCCATTGCTCACAGTTTAGAGCACTCTTCTGAGAGGTGTGGGAGACTCCTTTTCCCCCATTAGATAGAGGAATAGATTAAAGCTGAGTTTCTCCAGCCCAGGCAAGTACTCCAATGACTGGGTTAAAAGGCATAAAGAGGTCACTAGACCTCCCCAGACATTTTGTGTGGAGTGGAGCATGTGTCTAACTCATTCTCACAAAAAATGACGTAAGTGCCTACACTGCCTGGAGAAGGTTTTTGGCTGTGGATCACTAAGCAGAGACAGGTGCCTCTCTGCAGGGCGGATTCAGGAGTCTATCTTGGAGAGAATGGCATGGTATTAGGACACACCCCCTCCCGCAGCATCTCCCACAGGCTAACTTAAGCAGCTCCCCACTTAGCATTCTGGCATTTGAGAATCTCACGCTAAGGTGCCTAAGTGCCTAATTCGGGCTTTATGGGCCACAGAGTTGTGGCTGTGATATTCTAGTCACCTAAAAGTTAAGCCCTGGGAAGCTGAGTATCACCAGGCCACAGGCCCTTTGTAGCCTCCAGTTTTTCTGTTTTATCCAGAGAACCCTACTTGATTCTTTCACTGAAAACTGACAGGCACATAAAGTGGATTCCTCCTTTCAGCAGTATACCAAATTAGAAAAAAAATGTGTTTTTCAAATAAATAGCGGGAGAAACAATATACCAATTCTGATATTTCTTTGGTATTAGCAAGAGCAGGTTAGCGGTGGCCTAAAAATGCATGCAGCGTGTGGCTGTTTTGTGGACTTTAGGAGGAAAAACGTCTTCCAAATTAAGATGTGGCCTGAGGAAAGGATTGCAGAGATTGGCCCTTAACATCTTCTTGGTGAAAATACTGCAATTCCTTGAGGTTCTTGAATTCCACTGAAGTGTGATGTTATTCATGACACTGTCCAGGCAGGCTGCAGACAAAGGAAGGAGACATACGTGGAGAGAATGGATGATATTTTAATTGGTGATTATAACCCTGGAGAAAAAGATTCAGTCAGTTTCAAAATATCACCCAAAGGTTTGCGTAAAAGCTAGTGACAGAAGGAAAGCTGAAGTGGGGAGCAATTCTGTGGTTTGGTGGCGTATGTGCTTTCCGTCACAGGCAAGGTAGCTGGCCGTCTCTACAGTTCACAAAATAACTCTGGTCTCCAGGGAACCCCAAGCCCACAAATGACCTTGTCCCCCAGATCACATGACCTAATGGCCCAAGTCAGTAAGGAACCCTCATTTCAGGGCAGCACTGCCCACTGGCCAGAGTTAATACGGAGCCCTCAGTTCAGGGCAGCACAGCCCTCTGGCTAGGGTTAATAGTGTTGGGGCTAACACCCTGGTAGAAGGACCCAGGCCCACCCTGCTCTGCCGGGTCCCAATACAGAGCCTTGCAAACAGCAGCACTGCCTGCCACTCCCTTGGTGGGGAATTCAGCCAAAACACGCCGTGTGTACCTTGGTGGGAGAGGCTGCTTCTGCACCCTTCCTGGGTTACTTCCTACCACTGTGGTCAGATCCACATCCCATGTGGTTGCTGAGTCTTCCACGTCTCTGGCAGAAGCTTCTCTCTGGAACTCCGCAGGGGCTTCATTGAGGCCATCTCATTGCCAAAACTACAGCCACTAAAACCAAACCAAATGCAGTGGCTTTAGACTGTATGTTCCATTGTTTTTCCTTTTAGGTTCTTGCCTTTCACCCCGAGAAGAACTGGTTTTCTGAGAGTGCCCTAGTGTTGGCGGAAACATTTGAGACTCCACCAGTCCCAGTTAATATAACTGCCAGCAACACCAGTTGTGAGTTAGAATGGAGGTCTCCTTTGCAAGGCAACATAACCAGCTTCTGGTTTGAATTGCAGAAGGTAAAAAAAAATACCCTTTTCTTTTCAGGTTAAAGGCCAGATTCTGCCTAGCCTTGTAGATGGTGGGGAGCTAGAGAAGGGTGCAAGGAGCCCATCAGGGAAATTCAGGCACTATAATGTCAGGGTCAGTACTAGTGCTCCAACAAGGGGCAAGGTGCAGGGAGCACTGGCCAGGGACAGGGGAGAACTGCTCCCGAGGTACACGCAGTTCCAAAGGATTTTGGCTGAGTCATCCAGAACCTCTTGGGGAAGGAGCAGTTCCCTTTTGCACACTCCGGTGCATGCTGTGGTTAGAAAGAAACAGGTGGGCTTCCATTTTTAAATGTTGAAATAATTTTTAAAAAAGTGGTCCGTGGATTTAATTTTCATCTCCTACTTGGGTCAGGGCTAGAGAGAAACTGTTAGGGAAACAAATTAGTTCTGCAGCATGCACTGTAAAGTAGATGCTACAGAGGTAGCCGTATACATGGTAATTTCAGGTTTAATCTCTGAACAGCAGAGGTTCATGAATGTCCTAACAGAGTTGATCATAATCACATGGCTTCACTTAGGATCAGCATGGGAAGGAGAGCTCACAGTGAGCCAAAAGTATAGACCAAACACAGGTATGGAAGAGGAAGGCTGCATACAGTCTCTCCTGCATGTGCCACCCACTTTGTTGTCCTGTGTGATTTCCAAGCCTCGTAGATCTCAGAACATCAAATTTCTGGGTGGCCTTGGTCTGTAGGAAGAGGGTTTGAAATTTATGCTCCCTCAGTCTCAATAGCCTCCCAGTACTCATATTTGTATACACACTTCTTTAAGGGCATCATATCAAGGCTACTGAAGTCAACAGAAAGATTGTTGATTGTGATGGGCTATTGACTCAGATATTTTATTTTTCTAGTGGCAAACCAAAAATGACTGGTTTTGTCCTGTGAACATCACCTGTACAACTGGTCCCCTGTACAAGTGTCATCTCATGGGTGTTCGTCCTAACACCAACTACTTTGTGCGAGTAGGAGTCGTTTACATAACTGGAGCAAAAAGCACATCAACTCCAGGAAGCTTTAAAACTAGGGGTAAGCCCTTCCAAATATGTGTTCCTAGATTAACACTATTCTAAGGGTGCAAGTAAATATTTTCTGCATACTTTGCCAGATAGTATCCATCATATAAGAATCACTGATTTCTCTCTAAGTGAACTCTAAAAAAGAAAAGTCACAAAATTAATATTTGCCAAAAATAAAACTGAAGCATTTTTTCAAAGATGAGAGATGGGGAAGAAGAGTGGAATTGAAATACTTGAATGTGATAAGATACTTGTGAATCCAGGCAGAAGTCTGAATGTGTGTGAATGAAACATTTCAGGTTTCCTGCCATGAGTATAAGTCCAAAGAATCCTTTTCATGAGTAGCCTTGTAGATCTGCCACTGCTAGCCTCCAGGTCCTTCACATGCCTGAACATCCAAATGCACATCTGAGTTTTGCTCTGTGTCTTTCTAGCCCCTTGCTCTTGTCACTTTTTTCTCAGAATACGATGTGAGTATTAATATACTGTGTTTTAAGAATTCTACTTTTTTTCACTTTGCAAAATAGCTGGAGTTCCAGGTAAACCGGGAATCCCCAAAATAGCAGAGGAGAATAAAAATTCTATAGAGTGGGGAAAAGCCGAAGACAATGGAAGCTCTCTTACCTACCACATTTTAGAAAGCAGGTAAATTAGTTGGCGCGCACGCTCATGCTAGCAAATGATAGATGACTCATTTATGTATTGTTATCCAGTAGAATGTTTTATAGTAACTAAGTAAGAAATAGGTTCAGATTAAATAAGAATGAGCCTAAGTTTTGGCCCAAATCACAAATTGATCTCAAGCTATTTTAGAAATTTCTAAACATTTGGTGTCTTTTCTTTGAAATTATATTTCTGTGCCCCTGCACATCTTGTCTGTAAACAAGACAGGAAGGCAGATCATCCATATGCTTTGTGACTGAAGAGGAAAATTCTGGCTTTCAGATTATTTCTTCTTTGTGCTTATTAATAAATGAGGTACATTGAAGGGTTGATGAGATTCAGTGAACTCTCCAGCACAATGGCCTAAATTTTCCAAAGTACCTAGAAATGTTAGGTCTTAGAACTGGACCCAGGACTGATCCTTGTAGGATCCACTCGATATGCCCCCTTCCAGTTTGACTATGAACCACTGATAACTACTCTCTGGGAATGATTTTCCAACCAATTATGCACTTCTTTTATAGTAGCTCCATGTAGGTTGTATTTCCGTAGTTTATTTGTGAAAAGGCCATGTAAGACAACGTCAAAAGCCTTACTAAAGTCAAGATATAGCTTATCTACTGCTTCCCTGTCATCCACAAGGCTTGTTCCACTTTGAAAGACAGCTATTTGGTTGTTTTGCCATAATTTGTTCTTGAAACATCCATGCTGACTGTTACTTAACACTTTATCATCTTCTCTTTACAGGTACTGAAGTTAAGATGACTAGTCTGTAATTCCCTGGGTTGTCCTTAGTCCCCTTGTTATAGGCAGGCACTAAATTTGTCCTCTTCCAATCCTCTGGAATCTCTCCCATCTTCTATTAGTTTTTTAAGATGATCACTAATGGCTCTGATATCTCCTTAGTCAGCTCCTTGAGGCTTAGGAAAAGTCTTAGGAAACGCTATCCTCTCAGTATTTCTTATAAACTCAGACAAAACCAGAGAGCTCTGGAAATCTCATCAGAAAACTATTTCTAACAAGATTTCCAGGCCATTTCCCAGATACATGGACCTAATTGGATAAACTGATTAATCAGATGAAGTTTTGGATGCTTTTCTAAATCAAACCTCTGAATCAACTAATGCATATTCATCACTAGCTGAAGTTTAGATGCCTCGTTACGTAGATGAACTGAGGGACAATGTTAAATAGTTGTCAGACATGGACATTAAATGTTCCAGGTTATGGGAACTTCTTGAATGAATTCATTTGCAAATGGTTTGCTTTAGTGGACAGGTCTGTACTCACAGGCATCAACACAGCAGTAGCTAAAACTTTAAAAAGTCTTGTTCTGGGATCAGTCTATACAGCCTAGAATATTTTTTAACTAGGATATTGTTTTGTAGGAAGAGTTGTCTTTGGTTCTTCCAATTCCCGAGAAGAAATCTGGAGTGGGATCTTGTCACGGCATTACAGAGTCAATATTGGAATTAAATCTCCCAAACATTAATATATAACAGAGTATCAAAGGAGTTTCTTCTTCTGAGATATTTCTGTGAAATTGTATAGATTGGAGGTTGGGGAAAGGAACCAAATAATTAAACTCTCTGTGTTCTTTTCGTAAGTTAATTTAGTGCTTAGGGTAGTGAAAGATTGACAGCACTCCTAGAGTTGGCATTCTTCAGCTGCATAAGCTTTCACCCAGACATAATTTCCTGGTGGTGTAAGCTTCTTCCACAGTTCTGCGAATACATGACATCACTGAACTGTGTACAATAACTGATATACCATGACACCTGATAATTGTGGTCTGCTAAAGGCCAGATTGCACCTGACGCATATGTGGGAGTCCAAAGTGAGAAAAGGCACGAGGACCCTTGTTTCATGGAAGGGTCATGCACAGTCACAGTCCTTGTGTTCTCATGATTCCAAAGTCCATAATCAATCCATATTTCATCTTTGATTTTTCATCAGTTTTGTAAAACCAGGAGAAAGTCAGTGGTTTCAAATGAGATTTGCAATGTCTCCGAAGTTCAGTTCAACCCACTTAGGTAAATGAGAACCCAGCTAATCAATACCAAAGAAAATATTTACATATTCTCCTTGATGATAACCACAGATTTTCAGAGAATGCTGTCAGTAACTTGAATAACCCAACAACATATATATTTACCTTCCACGTCTTTTTTGGGCCTAGAAGTTTTTGTTTTAGTGTGCTGTTTCACAGTGTGGTGTGCGATTTGTTGGCATGCAAACTGTACAATGACAGTACAAGGTCACTTGAAATATAGCTATATCATGTAACATAAAATGATGATTCAGACATGCCTTACACATCAATTGTATGCTCCTTCTTCAGATGGTGTATAATCTGCTCTGAATTTGTAATAAGTGATCCACTCAAAGCCATCTTCAAAAGGAAGCAATATACCTGGCAGCCAGCAGATACAGTGGGAAACTGGCTAGCTAAAGGATTGTGTCTTCCCTGCCAATGACATGCTTTCTATATTAGCTTGTGAAACCTGACACGCAAGGCACACAAGGAAAACTAAACGCCACTAGGCTCGAAAGAACGTAACCCCCTAACAATATAAAGAATATATGAAGAGTTTTGCCTAAAATCTAATAACGTTGTTTTGAGATCCTGGCTAGGGACTGTGTATTTAACCAGCAGGAGCTGAAATGATGCAGTTGTCTTGTATGTCCAAAACAGGTGGTGTTTCATTTTCTATGCCAGACCAAAGAGACGTCATTGCTGGAATGACATGTTAAGATCACTGTGTTTCCATAGCCAAGTCCATGTGAATGGAATGGTCCTGAGAGCAGAGCATGTGCAATAAGAGCGTTTCCATGGAGGCCATGCTGTAGAAATGATGTATGGCACAAGTTGTTAATAACACAAGCTTCCCTTGGTAATAGATCTCTGTTGTTTTGCTATGCGCTTTGTAGGAAGGGGTCCAATAACACAAGCAAAATGAAGCCTTCTTGGAAGGTGGTTTACAATGGCTCTTGCAGCAGTGTGTGCATGTGGAAGGCCAAGAACTTAGAAGGGACTTACCAGTTTCGAGCAGCAGCTGCAAATATGCTGGGACTGGGTGAATACAGTGGCATCAGTGGCGATATAGTGTTGATTAAAGGTATTTGCTGTACTTTTTATTCTGCTAATCAGATTACATTGAAATGCTAGATCACAAACACAAGTCATTTTTGTTTAATGATTTATAAACAGAGACCACTCTCTGTATGCAGATATAGTAGCACATACAAAGTAAAATGTGTAAGTGGCGTTTAATAGTAGTGTTTCTGTGAAAATTTCTAGCTGTCTGGACTAGTGCCAACTTTCTTATCAAAGGAACACTGGGATAGAACTCTGTTAGCATTGGGTTGGATATGGTTTTCTACTATGTCTGGAGATGCTGTGGTATATCTGATTATATAAGAATGTGGTTTAAAGGAGCTCTGCATTTGCTTAATAATGCTCCCATTGACATCCATGGGAGTTTTACCATTGATTTCAGTGGGAATAGATGTTTAGACTCACACTGAGGCTTTTGAAAACCCCATCCCTAATTCTTCAGCCATTCAACGGCTCTGCATTTTTCTCTACAACTGTGGGACGTTAGAGACTGAGAGAGCTAACAGGTTTGCTTAGCTCAGTGGTGCTCACATGCATTGCATTGCCAGTGAACTATTTTTTAATTTTTTTTAACAGACTCTACATCCGAAGGGGAGGCAACCATCATCATAGCTGCTGTGACTGGAGCGATTGCATTCATCTTAATGGTGACTGCACTGTTTGCTTTTGGTATGTGATTAAAAAGTTTAATACAGCTCGTGGATTTGTCAGATCACAATAAACTGGAACAAAACAGAAATTTAGGGGAAGGACTGGCTGGTATTTGAGAGCTAGATCTTGTGAGGTACCAATCATTTTCCAGAGCATGATTAATGGCCTTTGCCCCTACTGATTCCAACCCTCAGCACAGTACAAACTTGGATCTTTGCTGAGTGGTGCTGTAGAGCCCCCAAGCATAAGATCTGGGCCTAGAAAGTATCTTGGAACGCTCATGTTTGGCTCACCGGAGATTACTAGTTATGCACAAAAAGTGGCAGGGTACAACCCACTCCTGCTCTCAAGCTTTTCATGGTATTGATGTTGGTTCTCTACAAGGAGAACAGGGACGCTGAGGTTGCCCTTGTGTTCTTGCATTGTGAACTCACAATGGTACGGTTAGTAATGATCATGTCAGATATTTCACTGATGTTCCTATGTATAAAGCCAAATGTGGGAGAGGAACTAGAAAAGTGTTTATCATTTAAAGGCAAAGCAAATGTAATTATTCAACTTACGTGTGTAAAAGGAAGTTTTCAAAGTGAACTCTCTTCCAGGCTGGCACAGAAGATGGAAGCTAAGAAAGTCTGCACAGCATGGGCAGACAGTGCTTGTCAGGGAAGATAAAGAATTAGATCAACTGCGGGGTCTGGCTGATGTGGTAGGATTGTCTAATGCCTGCTACGCTGTAAGGTATTTGTGACGTGTAAAAAGCTACTTCCAAAGCAGAAAAATTAGCTGGCCTCCTTCAGCCTCATTTTTACAGATGCTGAATCTCTAAAACTGTGAGCTAAGTTGGTGGGAACTGCAGGTGATCAGCACTCAGAAAATCTCTGCTGCTCAGAGACAGTGACTCAGGGCCCACAACTGGGGTCAGATTTTTAAAAGAGTTAAAAGAGCTTCCATCTGGATACCTAAATCAGGGCCAGATTTTCAAAAGAGTGTGTGACCCAGGTGCTCCCAGTGTGCTTATCAGTCCATGTGAGCTAAGCAGCCTATGTGCTGTGACCTTTATAAATCTGGCTGCTGGTACACAAGGGGTGTAATTCTTTCCTCTGCGGAGGGTTTGCAAAAATCATGTGCCTCACTTAAGTCTCTTTTAAACTGCGGGTGAGACAAATTGTGCTAGATTTGTTTATGGCAACATTTTGAGAGTGTTCCTCAACCATATATTTATTGAAATGACTATTTATTTTTAAAGCTACAACAAGCCCTACTGTTTTATAGCACTCTCCCTACTCGGGCTGAGATTGATTCCCTGCCAGCCTTTCCTCGGGACAAACTGAATTTGCATAATCTGCTGGGAAGTGGAGCCTTTGGTGAGGTGTACGAAGGGACTGCAGTAGATATTACAGGAGCTGGAAGTGGGGAGTCCAAAGTGGCTGTGAAGGTAATTTCAGCTGTGTAGCTGTCTAGCAATAGTGCTGTCTAGATGGGTACATGTGGTTTTGTTGGTTAAGCCATAGGAAGGGGAGTCAAGAAACGTGGATTCTATTTTTGTCCCTTCCGCTGGATTCACTCATTGCCATGTGCAAATCACTAAGAACTGAGTTCCCTTCACAAGACTTGTTGATATCAAGCCTTGGGCCTTTCCTTATCTGAGACATTTTAACATAAACTAGATGAATTTTTAAATCCTGGATCGCACTCCACTAGTGACCCAACGAGACCAAATCTGCATTCGCTGCCAAGCCTTTGAATGTGAGACTAGCTCATTCAGTGACTCTTGGCATGTCTACTCTGCAGCTGGGGGGTATGCCTCCCGGCTGGGGTACACAGGCACACTAATGCTGCTCATGCTAGCACGTGAAAAATAGCCATGTGTAAGCTGTGGCACACAGCTCGAGTTCATTGCCTGAGTCCCCTGGATCAGTACTTGGGTGGCTAGCCTGAGCCTCTGTCCATGCTGCAGCATCCACACTGCTGTTTTCAGTGTGCTGGCTCTAGTAGCTAGTGTAAGCCTGTCTAGACAGGCTCAGAGGCATGCTCCAACTATTGTGTAGGTGTACCTCAGTGCCATAGGAATGTGACTTGACATAAGGATCCAATTTCCCTCCTGTTTAACCATCAGTTGAAACAAGAATTGAAGACCAAGGAGATGTAACAGTCTGTACGGGAACATTGAATAAGCTTTATCAAGGGCCTGTTGCATAGAGACAGAAAAGGAAATCTGAAAACAAAGAGGACCAATCTCATATTAATACCAGAGGCAATTCCTTTGGGCCAGAATACAGTTTTCCTAAGTGTGGTTAGCCTCAGATGTTACCTCTCTTCCTCATACTCTGCTGGCTATTTACTTACGCTGTATGCTTCTCAGGCCAGGTCTACACTACTGGAGAAAGTTGACCTACGATATGCAACTCCCACTAAGATAATAGCATTGCTGGAGTCAACATACCAGAGGTCAAATTTCCGCAGCATCCCCACTGTGGGAGGTTGACGGGAGAAACTCTATTGACTTCTTTTACTCCTTGTGATCTGGTGGAGTACCGAGGTCAATGGGGGTGCCATGAGCAGTGGATTAGTGGGTCGTTATTAGACCTGCTAAATCGAACCCTGGGAGTTCAATCTCCAGAGTGTTGATCTCGGTCTAAGTGAAGACAAGCCCTCAGAGTAGGAAGAGGGCATGGATGCCTACTTCTGTTTAGAAAGTGTCTATTACTTTGTAGCCACTACAGAAAATATAGGTTAAGAGAAAGCATGTGTGTGTGCGTGTGTTAGAAGAGGCGATCAGCCTATTGACTTTTTTCTTATATAAATGTTACAGAGATTACACTGACCGTGATTGAATTGTGCTAACAACTTGTCTTGTATTGTGTAGACTTTAAAGAAGGGTGCGACAGACTATGAAAAGAGTGAGTTCCTGAAGGAGGCACATTTGATGAGGTAATACTGGATTGTCCACAGCATTCCTTTCAATACTGATGTAAACGAGGGCTCTTTCATCTGAATGGGTTCATGTGTATCTTTTGTGTCTCTTATTTTTGCGGAAGAATTAAAGCATCCCTGAAGAATCCCACCAAAATGAAGCTGCAAAGTTTGTTTGCGGCTCAGATAAAGATTGAAATGTTATTGCACTAATTTCATAGCTTGACTGGACCTTTGGACTGGGATGTCCAGTCTTCTCCTCCTTCTGAACCAATTAACATAACAGTAGTAATCGGTAATAATAATAGAGTAGTATTTGACAGTCCCAGTTTTTCACGATAAGAATAGGCCCCACAGTAATTTCTTGTTAAAAGTTGGCTTTAATATGCACATATTCACCAGTAGAGGCTGCCACATATCTCCTTGCCTATTCAGGACACAAATGTCTGTCTGTTTGTTTGTCTGCGAGTCTGTTCAAGAATTCCTAAATGGTAAGAGCTAGGGCCATCAAATTTGGTATGCAGCTTCCTGCTGTCTTAAAGTAAGGTCAGGATTTGTGTCAGCACAACTAGAAGCCCTAGGAAAGGGACAGTTTTCCATAACATCAAAGGGAGGAACTGCTTTCAGATGGACGCAATATGAGAGTGACCACTGAGGCAGTCGTACCACCAGCTTGTCCGACAGCACACCAGTGAGTAGCCCCCCCTTGCCCAAGTGCTTCCTCCCCAACCCTTGCCCACAGTGCTCAGGGGCGAGGGGAGGGGAGACTAGGCCCCTGACACCTGGTGGTTAACCTGGGGAGAGGGAAGAGAAGAGGCCCCGGTTGTGAGCTGGGGGGTGCCCTGGAGATGTGGGGAAGAGAATAGGCCCCGAGCAGGCTTGGGGGCGGGGGGAAAGAGAAAAGACCCCGTGTGAGCTGAGGGGGTGACCTGAGGAGAAGGGGGATAGAACAGGTTCTGAGTGGGTTGGGGGGGAGTGCCCTGGGAAGGGGAGAAGAAACTAGGCCCCGGGCAGACTGGAAAAGTGGTCTGGAGCGGGGGGAGGAAGGGAGGGAGAGAACAAGCTCTGGGCCCCCAGCCTCCTGCACCTGCTTCCACATCCCCAAGGCCCTGCCCCCTGGGAAATGCTGGGTAAATCTGCTAGCATGATATATGTACATGCCATCTGAGAATGAATTTTCATAAAGAGGTCAGTGTTCAAGTTGGAAATCCAGGATCTCTGGCATCCCCAGTGAATGTGCCACAATTTGAGATAAAGACTTAAAGGAATAAGAATAAGGCTTAATTTTCAGAGATGCTCTGACTTCAAATTTGGACGCTGACAATGAGAAGCCAATATTGAAAATGTGGACTTGAATTTCTCACACTGAAAATATATTATTGAATTATAGTAGGCAGTTATGTACAGGCAGTCCCCGGGTTACATACAAGATAGGGATTGTAGGTTTGTTCTTAAGTTGAATTTGTATGTAAGTTGGAACTGGTACATATTGTACCCCAGGTGTCCCCGATTCAGCCGCTGCTGAAACTGACCAGTGGCTGACTACAGGAAGCCCGAAGCAGAGCTGCTTTGCCCCGGGCTTCCTGGAATCAGCCGCTGATCAGTTTCAGCAGCAGCTGACTTGGGGGCACCTGGGGTAGAGCAGCTGGGGTGCTGCCAGGTTGGTCCCC